TAACATCTTTACTTTAGTGTATTTAGATAACGTCCTTATCTACTTAAAAGATACCCTTAAAGACTACATATAGAAGGTACAGAAAGTCTTAGAATAACTTAGGAAATACAGACTCTACCTGCAGCTCTCTAAGTGCAAATTCTATGTTAGTAAAATAAAATACTTAGGATTTATAATTAATAGTAAAAAAATAAAAATTAACTTAGCTAAAGTATAAAAAGTACTTAAATAGCTAAAACTTATAATAGTTAAAAAAGTTATAAGATTCTTTAGACTATTAAGATATATTAGATAAATAATTAAAGACTACTTAAAAATAGCTATACTACTAACAAACATAACTATAAAAAAATAAGTAATAGCTAAGTTTTTTTAAACTCTATAAATAAATAAAGCATTTAAAACTCTAAAATAGGCTATAATAGCTAAACTAGTATTAAGAATGTACAATCTATAATTAGACACTAAAATCTATACAGACGCGTCCCTAGAAGCTAGCAGGGCTACGCTGTATTAAAAGCAGGAGGACAGGAAGTGGCACCTAGTTATGTACTACTCTGCTAAGTTCTCTAGACCTAAAGCTAGCTATAGCATACCTAATAAAAAACTAAAAGCTATACTTAATGTAGTAAGAGTTTAGTCTATAAAGCTACATAGAATAGTAAAACTATTTAACATTATAACTAACTATATAAACCTAGTTACATTTTTAACAGTAAAAAAACTATTACTAATGCATATAAGATAGGTAATAAAACTTGCATAGTTTAACTATATTATTAAGCATGTACCTAGAGCACAAAACTAGTAGGCTAACACCTTTAGCTAAAAACTAGACTACTTTAATAAAAAAAAAAAGGAACTAAAAAATTTACACTTTTTAAAAAAACTAATAAAGAATAAATCTATAATAAACCTAGACTTATAAAAGAACTCTACATGCTTATAGCTAGTAAGCAGAGATAGAAGAATCTAATTTATAAATACTATAAATCTCTAATGTTTAGACACCCTAGAATAGGCACCCTCTAGAAAAAGCTAAGGACTGTAATACTATAATAAATACTAAAGGTTAAGCAGCTGTGCACTAAAGTACTTAAAAAATGCAACATCTACAATAAAAATAACTTATAAAGGCATAAGGCCTATAGATACTTATAATTAATTAAAGCGCTTAAGCTGCTATAGATAATAATTATAATAAACTTTATTATAAAATTGCCCCTATCTAAGAAACTAAGGACAGAAAAAATGTGTAATATAATTATAGTAGCCTAAGATAAAACTACTAAGTACTTTTACACCTAGCCTTTAAAAAAAATAATAACAGCTAAAAAATTTATTTATAAACTAAAATAAAATATAATATTAGTATATAAATGCCTAAAAATTATTATTTTTAACTAAGATAAACTGTTTACTAGCAGCTTCTAAAAAGCAGTAATGCAGCACTTTAGTATAACATATAAACTATTAACAGCCTATTATCTATAAATAGACAGACAGACTAAATAAATAAACATAAAAGTAAAAAAATATTTAAAAAAGTATACTTTTTATACTTAAAATAATTAGCTAACATAGCTTTTAATAGCGTAGCTAGCTATTAACAGCGTAGAATTAGCTATAATAAAAGAAACACTATATAAAGCTAACTTTAGATATAACTTTTACTTTAAGCTATAAGAAAACTAACCTACAGACCTATAAGAATTAGTAGATAGACTAATAGACCTACATTAAATCTATAAAAAGTTAGCTATAGAAGTAAGGTTAAGTAAAAAAATAATAAAAAAATATATAAATAAATTATAATAACTAAGACTAAAAATTTACCTAGGAGATTATATATATCTTAATACTAAAAACCTAAAGATACTAAGACTCTCTAAAAAGCTAGTAAAAAAGAGAATAAGACCTTATAAAGTCTTATAAACTTAATAAAACAACTGCAAGCTTAAGCTTCCTTTATATATAAAAATCTACCTATAGTTTTATATTTTTAGACTAGAAAAAGCACTTAAAGAGATCTCTTTATCTACATAAAAATAAAAGAATAAAGAAACAGAATATAAAGTTAAACACATTATAAGTAACTAAAAAAACTAAAAAAAATTCTTAGTAAAATAAAAAAAGTAGCTTACTAGTAAAAATATATAAAAACTAGCTAAGAATTTAAGAAATGTGTAGCTGTTAGTATAAAGGTACTTTTAGGCTTATCTAAAAGAAACTAGCTAGGTAATAAGGCACTTATATTAAAAAAAATAGCTACATTATTACTAGATAGCAGCAGCCTTTAGAGATAAATCTTAGCTAATAAAAGTTAAAAAGAAAAATAACTCTTTACTTTAGCCTTTAAAGCTTTTATTTTATTTAAGAAGAAAAGGTCCTTTTCTAGGTATTTTATATAATAAGCCTTTAGTAGGTCTAATAACTTTTAGATATAATCTTATTTAAAACACTTCTTATTTATTACTCTTAACATTTCCTTTTGTAAGCAGAGTTCTTTCTAAACCTAAGCCTATTACTTGTCCTATAATGTGTAATCTTAGGCCTGTAAGGCTTTAGCCTTTTAAAGAAGTGTCTCTCTCTTTTTTTTTAAATAATCTTATGTAGTGTTAGAAATAAAAGTGTTGCACTTATTATACTTTTTTACACACTTAACACATTTATCTAAGGATAAAGTTAACACATAAGACAACTTTAAAAATTAGTAAGCACTATAAGGCTTTATCCTTATCTAATAAAAAGAATTAAAATAAAAAGCAACATAAAGATAATAAAATAAACAGAACTAGTAAGCTATTTAGTATAAAAAAAATAAATGTTAGAGACGCCTTTTAGTAAGAGAACGCACACCTTATAAATAAACTTTTACTAACACAGTTATGTAAGCAGAGCAGTAAGGACGCTGCTAGGAAGGAGGGGCAGCGTGTTACAGTCTACAGTTAGACCAGCGTAACTCCACCAGCAGTGCTCCACAATCTAGCTAGGTTGGGACAGGGCTTGCTTAGAGACCAGTTAGAGGACACAGAGGCAGCACAGCTGCCTAAAGCTATAGAGGAATGCATTGTCTAATAGGTAAATAAGCCTAGGGAGCTAAAGGGAGCTTATAGAAGCCCCTCTTAGCAGGCTCCCCTAAGCTCCTGCTAACTCCCCTTAGCGCCCTAGCGCATGTATATAGTTCCCACATTAAACAACCTTTAGAAGGGGTGTTTAACATTTAGTTTATTTATTATATAGACTAAGTAGCATTTAGCTTTCTAAAGAGCTATAATACTATTTATATATCTTACACTATATATACCTCTAACCTTGTCTAACAAGGACTGTTTAACCCTGGCCCCCTACTGCCGCACATAGGGCAAACCACAATCCGGTCACTCTTCATTCTCCATTAGCCCAATAGCCTGTACGTAGGACTGTACACCCTACCGGATTGGCCCCTTCCACCCGTCCTACTCATCCCCTAGGAACATCATCAGACCCGAGTGCTTCCCGAAGCAAGGATTGTAACAGTGCCGGCAGACTAATAGTTAGCGGGCTAGCTGCAGCTGGCTGCCTGTACCCTTGCTGCTTGCTTTCTACATCCTGTTTATCACACAGCTGACACTAACATGACGAAGATTTGTGAATGATCTCTATTAGTGGGGAGACATTGTTTCGGTCACAGATAAATGCCTCTTCGAGCAGGTTGTGCAACTATTCTTTGCAGAGAAATTGGACAGGACCCGACACGCTTACCACTACAATAATCTTTTCCATTTTCAGGAATTCTTCCAGAATCTATTATCAGATATGGGAGTTGATCGAGTCGGTTCTGATTGGCAAGGCACGACTCGACTATCTGTTATCCAAGCTCGCCATACCGAAGCCTTTGGACTTGGATCTCGTAGTTCTACTAGTTCTGCGCCGGCCTCTACCTTCTCTCACTCTCCTAACCCCGAGATACCCGCTCACCGTCCCGAAATATACAGAGGAAAAGAGAGCTGGAACGCGCATGAGATCAAAGTGATCGAGCTAGCTTCGGCAGTTATCTCTTGTCTAGTGATATGTGTTTTCCTAGGTAAGCCTTTTCCTATCGCGAGACAATCACATTTGACCGCCGATATCAGTTTTATACCACCCAACAGCTCATGAGAGTGCCACATTACTTCTGTAGAAACACCCTTGTCAGGGCTCGGAGCTCTCCATCGTTCATATGCGTAACTGCATACTCCTCGCCGGCTACCTTGGCCTGTCAACGCACACGACCAGCAACATCTATTTCGGCGACAGCATAACTCCGAAACAATCACGCCCATGCTGAATATGTGGAAAGCGCGAATGGAATCTGAAACGGTATCAAGATATACACAAGGCCGACATGAAAAAATTTGACTGCCAATATTGCGCACGCTGGTTCAGCCGAAAAGACAATCGCGAGTAACACGAGAGGAATTGTCAAGGGAAGGGTTGTGCATACATGGAGCCCGCTGTTGCACCGAACGTTCCAAACCCAATATCAGATCGGCCTGCGACTTCAGGGCCCAATGCTGCCTCAGAGCAGTTCGGTCTCACCACGGCAAGCCTTGCCATGGCCGCTCAACAATTTACAATGCTAGACTGCTCCAGCCTGGCGGTTGATCCGTCAACAATGACCATCGACGTTTCGGCGAACCTTCACTCCAACGCACAGGATCCACTTCCACTTATGGGAGGTCTTTCCCTAGCAGGGCTCCACACAGGTATGGCAACTTGGGAAGGGTATCAAGGCTGTACCGAATTCGAAAATTGGGAGAAGGCCTTTGCTTTTACCGCCTACTTTGACGAAACATAGTCATTTTCGCATGGCATCTCCCTCTGCACTTTCCCCCCAGTGCTACTCTCTCTTGAAAACTAAGCTCCATTCTATGCTCTCCCAACGTCCAACCCTCCGATCACCCCTCCCCTTCAACGTCCTCACTCTCTCAAGCCATTCCTCTTTCTCCCACTTCGTCAACCCATTCTCCTCGCCTAACTTATTCTGCACCCCCACCCTTCCCCGTCTGCTCCGGCCCACTAACCTGCGTCCTCGAAACCTTGCCCCCAGCCACCGATCCCGGCCTCGCCCACCCTACACCAGTAGCCTTCACCTCCCCCTCCTCCGTCACAATCGGCGTCGCGCGCCACGGCTCCCCCGGCGCAATCCACATATCCTTCCTATCATGCCAATTCCCGCTTCCCCAACTTTCAAAATACTGACTCGTCCAATCGCAATCCAGAAACTTACCACTATCCCACTCCGCCAGCACATCCTTCACCGACAGCGCCGCAAACTGGCGAAAGTGCGCTTGGGAGATCGTTCTGTCGGTGGAAGAGCACAGGTTGTTGCGTGAGCACGCGTTGAAGTATGCGCTAGAGGGAGCGGTGGCCATCCAGTCAGCGTTGTACGAGGAGTTTGCGTAGCGCCATTCAGTGTGGTGGGATGCGCCGATGCCGAATTCGGTAGGCTGCGCGGTCCATATTTCGCTCTCTCCTTGCGGGAATGTGATTAGAGAGGTTGGGAGGGCAGAGGAGATGTTGTAGTGCGGCGAGCGGAATTTGTTGCTGTCGCGGTTGCCGAGGTATGTTGATACGCGCACGCCGGTCAGGAAGTGGTAGACGGAGGGGCTGGTGAGTGTGTGGCCAGAGACGACGGCCGTGTTGGGCAGCCATGGGATTGTACGTGTGCCTCCTGCGCGGCGGGTAGCGTTTGCGCAGAAGGTGGTGCCTATGAGAGGGGCAGAGGGCCAGTAGTAGATTGCGTAGTCGTCTACGTCGAATTTGCAGCGTTTCGTTTTTGCGTTGGGGGACGGAAGGTCGATGAGTGTCTTGCACGTGGGCTTCATGGGCCAGAGCATGTCTTCGGGAGTGGTGGTGATGTTTGCAGACGCGGAGGCAGCAGCCTGGCTTGTGCGCCAGCTGTATACAGAGTGCAGTCTGTAGCACACTGTTTCAAAGTCGTGGGCGAACGTGCAGGGTGGGTAGGGTTTTGTGTTCGCGGTGCTCCAGCTGGAGAGCCACGAGGGGGAACTCTGCCAGTAGCTATTGTACAAGCTGTATGTGGAGAGGAAGCTTGTTGTTGCGCAGGTTGTGTTTTCGGTGGGCAGGTAGTTTCTGGTGATATTATCGCAAAGGACAGTTTGCGGGCCGGAGTATGTCGTCGTGCATTCTGTATTGGTCACTGGGTAGATGGTTGTGTGGGGAGTGGGAGTGGGGAGCGGGACCCAAGGTGCCAGGGTGAATATCTGCCATTGTATGTAAAGGTTGATGGCTGCTGCTGATGCCCATGAGTTGTAGCATTGGAGGTTTTCCTTTGGGATATCGTCGAATTCAGGTGGTAGTGGGCCTAAAGTGATTGATGGGTTGGGAGGTGGACCATCGCTGGTCGCGGTGGAGCTAATTGTTGAGTTGGAGGACGGGATGGTCGCTGTTGCGGCTGCAGGGACCTTGTGTAAGAAGCGTGCTCAATTGTAGCCACCGGCTGGGGACGTACTGGCTTGTGGTAGCGCGGTTACCGGCCATATTCTTATGATCAAGATTCCGATAAGAAGAAATGATGAAGCCATACAGTGGGACTTGCGCGACTAGTTCTAATGTGAATCTCGGTGGATAGAGCTCCATTCCGTTAGTTTTTCCGCCGTTTCCTCACCTTAAATGATCCACTCATTTCCTTAACGCAGCAAATGCCAAGGCGAAGCTGTTCTTTTTCTCATGATCTTGTCACCCTCAAATAACAAATACGATGTTGAAGCTTGCTAGTAGATGCGCGACACAGTACACTCATATCTAGCGACTAATTCCGGCTGGGTGCCGTTGCGGGTCCGGGTTCGTTTGTAGAAATCCACCCGTATCAGAATCCTGCCGCTCATATCCACCTTCGTTTTCATCTGTAGGAAATCCTTCGAAACTATAAATAGGATTCCATCAGTCCTTGCCCGGCGCATCTTGATTGACTGGCGCTTAACCGCCCACCCTCGTGCTACCTCCGCTGTCTTTCAGTTTGGCACGACAATATACCAGCGGACAGTGAAAACCCAACGAATTAGCGCGGGTCAATATGCACATATCTAAATGATTGTGTACGGGACGATCATGCAGCCTTATCGGTGAGTGTTAAGCCAATGGGCTCGGCAAACGAAGGCCAATGAGGACAGGCCGATCACGTGCCACAGCTCGCGAGACCGGTTTGTGGATATGTTCCTGCGCCATCGAGTAGAGGAGTGAGATCACTCGATTCTACCGAATAATCCATTGAAGTGCCCGAGGAGGTCCTGGACGTAAAGGCTGGAAGTGAACGCCTCAGCTCTTGTGCCATGATTGTCCGCGATCAAGGCAATAGTCCGAAGCCATCCCTCAGCGAGCCTTGTCTAAATGTACATTGTAATACACGGATATAACTAAAAGAAGTACGCTAGAGTACGTCTTCGAATGCATAGTCCGACAATAGAACATCCAAACTTGACAATCTACGCCCTACCTATCTTCCTCTTTCTCCTCCCCAAGCCCACGCCAAACCTCCGCAACAATCCCCCCCCTCACTCTCTCGGGTACATTCGCCGCGCCAAAAACAAGCCCCCCATCCACCGCAATCGCCGTCACGCTTCTCCTCCTCTCCTGTACCACGCGAATAATCTCAGGACCCTCTGCTGCGGACACAATATCCTGGAACGTCTTGTCCGCCATGACGCCATCGCGGGCAATGGAATACGGTCCGATGACGAGGACGAGAAGGGCAAAGGCATTGGCGAGCGTATAGGGGATGAAGAGGCCGTAGGGCTTGTAGGAGTAGCGGTTTGCGGGGGTGGAGAGTTCGATGGAAGTGGGTTTGGTGTCGCTGTTTGTGGGGTGTGAGTAGCTGAGCAGCTAGTTGGAGGGAGTAAAGAGTTCCGCATCAACCCGACGCTAATGTTAAAACTTAATTGTTCAATGAGAACATCCAGCGTCCCATTCCTCGCTATGGCCTTATCCCTCAATCCCTGATCGCTCAGCGTCCCGTTACGCTCAGGCGTCTTATACAGCGCATTTTCCGCAGACAGATCGAAGAACGCATCAAGATCAAGGCTTCCCAGAAAACTAGTCCGTAGTATCTGTGACTCTAGAACTCCTTATTGCGCCGCGAGCGTGGTGTTTGACGACTGCGAAGAGTTGGATACAGGGGTGTTGACGTACCACGAGAATTGGCCGATAAGCCGGTGGCATAGAATCCACATGAAAGACGAGTATGCGTGTTGCGCCATGTTGGAAATTGTAGAGGTGCTGTCGTGAGGGTAGGGGACGAATTCGTTCACAATGAAGGAGCCGGCTATATTTTGGAAGCCGTGGTCACGCTCGATGTGGAAGTCGTAGGCTGCGTTGTAGAGCGAGCAGACTTAATAATGGCGTTCCTTGGTTCTGATACCGGTGTCGCTTACGGTAGGTCGAAGGAAAGTCATCCATAGCTCGTTAGTGGCGTTTGAGGGCGACTGCTGACGGGGCATTGACACAGTTACGAGCTGCCCTGAACCGTTGCATGTTGGAACGAAGCTGAAGTAAGTATTGTTCGTTTCAACTACCACTCCTTTATTGCTCGCCATTTCTTCTTCCAGAAAGCCCTTGATAAGCTCGGTTGCCAAAGCGTTGGCCCCGGCACATTTGACCAGTGGAGAGAAGAATTGTATCGAGTGAATGGAGTTGTTGTACGTAAATCCGCAGGAAGTATTTCTCCCAGTGAGGCGGTACCAGTTGCAATCAGAGCGAGGGTAGTACGCGGGCCAGTGAAAGTCCGACTAGTATCGTCTACATACTGAGTAGTTCCTCTAAGCAGAGGCGGCGAATACGCATACTTATGGCCGGCGCTGCTGTTGGCGATATCGGGATAAGGCATAGACGCATCTATCAGCTGACTGCTGAGGCTCTGATATACGGAAAGGGTTGCGGGTGTGAAAAAGGGCGGTAGGAGAAGACCCCTAGTCGTGCGTCAGCCTCGTCGCAAGGGATAAGCGTGAGAGCAGTGCCTCAAGGATGAGCATTACCATGCGAAAGTAGCCATCACATAGCCAATTCGCAGTTTTCGTAGAAGCTCCACATTTAGCAGAGACAGCACCGAAGTGTCTGCTCCGAAGGCGGCATTGAGCGCACCCACTGACATCGGTTCTCTTTTCACAGTAGCCTACAACCACTGCGTACGGCAGATCCACACACTCGCACCCAGGCTGATTTGGGATATGAACGCAAAGGCCGTCCTGAATCTGTCTGCGTCAGGAACTCACAAGTGAGGCACAGCGTGTTACCAGGAGTCTAGCCGGATGAATCCCCGGTCTATATTTTACGTCGCACTATCCCAGACAAGCACCAAAACAATCACACAGAATTGCATCTATTAATTCGATCCTAAGCTTTAAACATACGAACCTAAGTTTCTCCTGCGCATCCGGACTCCCCCACAATCTTCCCGTTTAGCCGAGGATAGAAGATGCTGTGAGCCAAGCTCATCGCCAACCCGAAGACAAAAAATATCATCATCAATAAAGGCGACTTCCAATGACGGATGTGTCGCGGACTCCAAATATGTCTGGCAGGAGGCGGAAGCGGAGCATTTTCTGGGAGAGGTTGATCGGGGATCGTTGTGGGGGCCGGCGCCGAAGGGCTTGCAGTGGCATCGGCGGTCGATCGCCGCTGTTATAACGTCTTCACGATTCTCCATAGAGACAGATATTGGATTCCCTGTGCCTTGAGATTGAGAAAGAAATGTTCCACGAGGGCTTTTCGCGTTGCATCGCAGCCATATAAAGCAGTGTGCAGCCGGTTGCCAAGCAGCTGTGCAAGTGAAGGGCGCTGAAGGCAATACGATACGCGATCTCAGGCAACGGCATCGCATGACTCGATATCGCATGGTGGCTGCTTGACGTGATATTCATTCATTGTCTTTCCGAACGCCATGTTACCATGGAGGGTGCAACCTATCCCGACTCTCTGTTGAATTCTAGGAAAGCTTGGCACGGGGCATCGCGATTTTCCGCCCGACGCCTAATTTTGTATGGGAATTGACGGGTCGCGAGGAACGCGTCGATGCCCGTACAGAGCCTATAGGACATCCAAATTGAAGTGAGGCAGTTCGCTTACGCGTTTTCGGCCTATACTGACTTTTCATGGTGTTGTAGTCGCCCAATTGCCTCCCAGACCTCCCGAGAGTCGTAGAACGCGTCCAATATAGTTACCAGCAGGTCGCAGAGCCGCAAGACGCGTAAGTCGCCTAGGGCAGCTCACTTGAGATCCCCGGGTTTACGATTCCTGTAGAGTCTCCAAGTTGCGAGAGCGTGCGCCCAAGCTGGCTTAAGAGACCAAGGCGGCCTAGTTATTTGCTTCAGCGCCAGCGGCGGCTTTAGCACTCAAGGCTGAACTAGCGTCTAAGACAATGCAGAAGTTAGGTGAAGCTAAAGAAGACGCTAGCGCTAAAGTTAAAGAAGACGCCTACGCTAGAGCTGATAAGAGCGCAGAGGCTGAAGTTAACTCTGCTAGTACAGTCGCTAGACGCTGCTTAGAGGGACAAGAATACTATAAGCGCTAGCAGTAGTTCTTCGTTGCTTAAGGGAGTGGACTTTATGGCGCCGCGTGTCAATACTAAGACACTGCCTGTCGATCCTAAGAAGACTATAAAGCAACTTAACAACGTCTTAGCTTTATATAACCCAGCGCTAAGCAGAGCTAAGCTAGTCTTACGCTTGTCGCTGCTAATTGTAGCATGTCTAACAACTGCTTGTGTTGTATTGCTGCTTGCTTAGGCGTTAGCTTGTCTAAACAACTTGTTAATTCTATTTTTATTGCTATCGTAGTCTAAGCACAAGTATACAATAGATATTAACCTAGATATAAAGATTAATAATAGTAGAAAGTAGAGTATAAGAAGCAATATTAGTCTAAGTTTAATAAAGCGCTTATATCTTTTATTAAAAGTAAAATTTATAAGCTTCTTATGCTTAAAGCGTTTAAAATTAAAAATTGCTAGTATTACATTACAACTACAAGTTAGACAACTAGAAAGGTTATATAAACACTATAGATTTTGTGAGAGGTATCGAGCAGGAAACACAGGTCACAGAGAGGGAATGCAGGATAGGGGGTAACGAGAGTAAACCTTAGGGTCGGAGGCAGAGGTACGGAGGCCGAGGAGCCTATATACCCCATGCCAAGCCTAGGGTACTCAGGGGTTGGATAGCTGTAACATAACCGTGACAGATTTAATCTTAGAAAAATAAAAACTATGTAACAATTACGTAACTAGAATAGATTAGGTAAATAAAACTGCTAAAAATTTTGCTTCTTTAGTAAAGCAATTGTTATCTTAGTAAAGTAGTTGCTAGCAACTACTAGCTAAGAATAACAACTACTAGCTAAGAATAACAACTACTAGCTAAGAATAACAACTACTA